CAGCAGGAAGCACATACCTTGCACAACACTCGCCGCAACTACTTTTAAGCCACAATACGCATGGAAATTAATTTATAAATATTCATACCTAAAAAGACTAATAATAAGAATTACAGCTGTATGCATTTCATTTATAGACCGACTGAAATTATCATATTTACAAACAAACATTAATGCCCGGGAAGAGGCAAGAATTTACTGGATAAAGGTAACCCAAGCAGCTTACTTTTCGCACGAGTTAAAGACATTGCTGCACAAGAATCAATTGCCAAAAACGCACGCATTTGGTCGACTAACAGCATATGTCGACAATCGGTTGAAAAGGTCAAAGAGTCGGTTGAAGACTTAACAAGGCCCCAATCAATCAAGCTGCCCGCCATTCTTCCCAGACACTCGATCCTTACGACGCTCATCATTGATCATGCACACCAACGAACTCTACATGGAGGCACTCAGATTACCAATTTCAAGAGTGACACCATCAAGACCATTCACTCACACTGGCGTAAACTATGTCGGCCCTATGTCGTTGAAAACAAAAAGGGGTCGAGGTGCGAAAACATATAAGGCCTGGATCTGCATTTTCGTCTGTTTTACCATTTTAGCGGTTCACATAGAATTAGTTTCGGATTACACAACTGAAGGCTTCATTTCCGCATACAGAAGATTCATTGCTCGTCGAGGAATTCCAACAACAATCCATTCTGATTGCGGTACTACATTCATAGGTGCAGATGCTGCTCTAAAAAGGCAATTTATTCAAGGCACCCACGAATAGTAACAGATCGAAGGTATCATGATGCAAGACAGCACTAATTGGGAATTCAATCGACCCTCAACGCCCCACGTGGGTGGTAAGTGGGAAGCGATAGTAAAATCAGTGAAACATCACCTCAGACGCACCATTAGAGACACATTGCTCACTTTCAAGGTGGCTCAGTACTCTACTTGCTGAAATCGAAGCCATCCTGAACTCCAGACCTTTAGAGCCACTCAGCGACGATCCAGAAGATTTAACCATACTTACTCCTGGCCATTTTCTTACAGGAGGTCCGCTCATGGCTCTTCCTGAATCATCGCTCCAAGAAATACCCATGCTTAGTTTATCTCGATGGCAATACATCCATCAACGTGTCCAACATTTTTGGTCACTCTGGTCAGCTCACTACCTACAACAAGAACAATCAATATCCAAATGGCATCACCCACGGAATGATATCAAGGAAGGTTCCTTGGTACTCATTACCGATGAGCGCTCATCAACCAGCAAGTGGCCACTCGCTCGAGTAATAAAAACGCATTCCGGTAGTGATGGACTGACGAGAGTAGTTACATTAAAAACGGCTGCTACCATCATGGTAAGGCCAGTTCATAAGCTTGCCGTGCTACCAATCATCATAAATTTCATCATCAACAACTTGATGATGGCGGGCGGATTGTTCGGGATTGAGGCAGCTTAATTCAAGTTTAAAATTGGGAGAATTACAAACGCTTGTTTGTAAACACAATTCAGCGATTCCAGGAATTTTCTTACGTCGTGACGTCTAATATACGACAATATTTCTGCATAGCAACGTCTATGAAGCTTCTAGAATATTCCAGAGCTTCGCTCTATGACGTCGCAACGATTTTCAGCATAGCAACAGGCTATGGCGCTGTTGCCGGCGTTGCAAACTATGCCGCGAATATTTAAGAGCAGCTCGCTACGCGCCGCACCACTGTACATTTAACATCCATTTAGTCACTACACATCCGGCTCACAGTTTCTTTCTACTATAAATTCAGTTTAGTGCTCATTGTAATTATATATTTAGTACATTGATTGTTATTATTAAGTAGTGCCTCTCGCATCAGTGTCACTTGAGCCAGCACGAACTGCAATTGCAATCTCAAACAATCAAGAACACAAGAGAAAGAACTCGCACCACTACAATAGAATAATTCTCAATCTAAATAGAAGTAACTAACAACGCTACAATATTATTATAATTCATAAGCAGAATAAATAATAAGTGAACCCAAATATATTATATTGTACTTTTCAGCCTTCTCAATTGTGCCTTATTTCTTCCTAATTGCTATGGCGAGAGATTAATCCACTGAACTATTGAATTGACAGTTCGAGTCATAAAATAAAACATTAATTTTCGAACAATAACGTTAATAGTTTTCCTTCCATTCGTCGACAATTAAATATCATACAATTTTTTCGTTATAACTATGTTTTTACTATATATACAATTTTACCATACGCATATGCGTGTATGTGTGTATGCATGTGTCAATCGCTTGTCGCAATGATTGGATTAAGTATGCACAGTCAATCGATAATGGATTAAAATACAAAATAAAATACAAAATAAGGAAGCCTTCAAAAGAGAAATATGTGAACATTCATATGGAGTAATTTTTAGAATTAGAAAAGTAAAAAGATACGCGAAAGTGCTTGAGATATATTAATATACATAAATACCATTCCACTATTAAATCCGGATAAAATTTCTCTTATTAACTGTGAAACTAATCACCTGATTTCAGATTTATACATTTTTAGATATTTTTTTTTTCTGAATTAAAATGCTATATAATAAGAATAATAAGAGGCGACGTAATTTTAAATTTTATAATTTAATCCAGATCCACTAACCGCAGGAACCGCGACGTTTCCATTGTATGGAATAATAAAGAATAATAAATCTAACCACTAATGATAAGAGAAAGTAAACGGATTAAATTGGATAAAATTGGGTTACGAAAAGAAAGATCTAAATTGACCATTGTGTCGTATAATCGAAGTTTAAACAAAAATAAAAATAAAGCATCACATTTGACTATATGCATCCATATATGATTGTGCACAATATCTATAGAAAGTTTAGCCATTACTATTATCTAATTAGATTCAATACTGAATGCCCTGAATGAAATTAATATATTAATTCTCGATAGATGAAATCATTCAAATGAACAGCGACCAACTTGATTTAACAATATGGTTTGGATGCGCAAACGACATTGCAATATAGTGCCTTATTGTTTTGTTTTAGCTATAAATGTGAGGCAGTTGTATTGGCAGTGAGTGATGTAATAAATATTATTATAATCATATCCGTTTCATATGGATTTCTCACATTCGTTACTCTACACACGTTCTTAGTATATTCGATGTAATATACTTGCTTGCATATATCATTTTATTTTTTAAGATACTGTTGATGCAACTGCTCACACGAATCTGTAAATTTTAAATGCAGTTTATAAGTTTATTAGATCACACGGTAGAAATTCTCGGTGTAATGGTCAAGCTATGATATGGTAAAGATGGTGGAAACTGTCCGATAAATAATAATCATTTATTTTATGCATGTGGCAAGGCAGTCACAGTACTAAAAACACTCTTAAATATTATTATAAAACTAATTGTTATAATATAAAATAAATGAATGATGTACAATTCTTGTATATTGGTTCTGTGCCTATGTAGTTCTGATATAATTACAAATAATCGATATTTTTATTTATATCTAATTATACGTTATCACTTTTGCTCTCTGTCGATCATTCTATATAATATTATCTGCAAAAAGTCTAGGTCTAATAAATTTCAAATCACCTATTATAAGAGATCGTATAATGTTAACAATCAAATTAGTTATTTGAAATTTGGCCGATATCGCGATGAATGTACAATTAATCCAATTAATCCAATTAATTCACTGATGCATGTCTTTTAAGTGCTTCAAACAAAGACTTATTTAAATAGACACACATATAGCGAAACTATGTGATTATTCCCACATTGTGTTTGATAAATTATAGTGCATAAGCAGATAGGCCTCTCTTTTATCTATCCTAATTTTATTTTCAGTTCAAATTTTAAGTCATTTATGAATACGGCGTGTTTATTATCTTCCTATTCTCTTTCGTTATTTCATTCTATACACGCGTACTTGAATTTATCACCAATATTCAGTAGATATTTCTAAGGAAATAGAAATATTTAAATTTTAAGCCTTTTAATATCTTCTTGCCTAAAGTCTGTTCTTAAAGTTAAAATTTTTCTAACTTCTGCTGGTGTCAATCTCCATGCTATCGAATCTTCGCAATAATCTGCTAGTTCTTCAATTTTTTCAACGCTTAAAATTGTGGTAATTTGCATTAACCTAGCAAATTTATCTCGTACCGACCAAGACGTTGCTGAAGCTAAATAGCTAGCTAAAGATCTTATTTCTTTATCAAGTATAAGGCCACCATTCTATAAATTAGATAACAAGAGACATTATATTTTACATTTTTATGAAGATTTGTTAAATAGTATTAAAAATATTTACACGATTGAAGGTAGACTTTAGAATTACTTTTTCCAAGCGAGCGGCTACTTCTGCGGTAAGAATACCTATAAGAGCATTATAATTTGGTTCTGTTAAACTATTTTTAAATCCTTGCAAAAAACCTTCCAAATTTGTTACTAAAGACTGAACAAATGGTTCATCGGTTTCATATCTCAACAATTCATCCTGTAATGTAAATTTTCTAATTTTCTAATTGTATAATGTAATTTATCTATTTGCGATGATTAATATAATATATCATAATGGTACAAACATCATTTATTTGATGATTTATTGCCAGAAATGCATCTATCCATGGAGTTATTCTCGGTTTCACAGTACTAACACGTAACTGTTCCAAGCCATAATCTACCACTGTGCGCAAAGTCAGGGCTACATTTTTCATCCCAGCTAGGCAACTTTCAATTTTCCCTTTCTCCTTAGTTTGCATATTTTGAAAAGCTTGGTCAATATCAATGCTAAGACTTTTGTTTAAGGTCTCTACGTATTCTATGCTTACTTCCGTGTTATTCAAATAGGCCTTCAAAGTAAAGTTTATATCATAAACACGATCAAAACTTTTATGATCGACATTTGTAATGTAATAATATAATTTCTTACTAGAAACATGAGTCTTGCGAGTTCTGTATCTGACGTTTGAATGCGCCCATGTTGAATACTAGTTTGAAGAGCATTATATGCTTGAGCCAAATCCAAGTACCCAGCGGGATAGCCTTGTCGAAGTCGATTTCGCAATTGATTTGTAAAGTCACTCTCAAGGAAACCGCAAGCCATGTTAATAACCGCGCAAACACCATCGATACTACCACTTGAAATTGCTCGTCGTATACATTTCTTTACAATGAAAAATGCATCATCCACCATACTGGACGTTTGTTGATCTTGATCTAAGGCATCCATTCCAATTGCTTTATTTACACTTTCTTCCATAAAATATTTCTCTACAGCTAGATATGCTCCAAGCAATTCCTGCATACTACATGCCAATTCGGAATTTTTTATTATCATCTCAAAATCATTTAATAGGTCTTTTCTTTGCTGAGTATCGGTTGTACTAATTTCCAAATCATTCTAAAAAATTCACTAATTATAAAATCAACGCACTTTTACTACTTATTTTCTTATATGCTTTATTATATACTTATTCTTAATAATTTATTTTCTTATATATATTACTTACGATTATCCTTCTTCTTAAAAATTTTATATATAATTCAGCCCTTATATGCATTATAGTTATTTCACTTAAAACGAGATCAAGATCTTTTGGATCAACCCTTTCGGTACCGCCCTGTTTTCTTAAATATTCATTAATTAGTTGAACTCTTTTTGCTATTTTACGATGTTTAGTGAATTCCGATATAACTTTTTTAATCTGCCTGCAAGAAAAATGAATTTCATTTATAAGTAACAAGTATGTAGGTACAAAGATCCAATAAAAATAGTAATATTTTATCAGATTCGCACTTATCGCATTCTTTTTGTAAAATTCCAATGCATGATAATAATTTTCCCGGTCCATAGTATGTCTCTACGATTGGCTGATGGACTTCGATAATTCTCGCGATACCTTCAAACAGCATTGTTATAGTATCAGCAAATATTACAGCGGATCTTTTATCGGTACTACGTACGTCCAATGCTGCTTTAAGATTTTTCTGTGCTGTCTCTTGAAGCTATTTGAAATGTCTAATTTATTGCAACTTTAAGAATACGGATTATAATGGAAAAGTATAACTTTACCTTGGAACACAAATAATGACAAAATTTTGTAATCCCATCATTATGCATTCCCAATAATGGAAAAACTTTAAAGAATCTCTCAATAGAAGCCAGATCTTCGGATTTAACCGCTTCATCAAATTTATGAGTAATGACCGCTCTCAATTCATTAGCAGCCTGTTGTAAATTAGCTAACGAGCTAGTAACACTGGTATGATCTCCAGAAACATTGTCAGCGGTTCTTTCCAATAACTGCTGATCCATTAACAAAAAGCGATGAACGTGCGCAGCCCCTTGTTCATAATCTTCATTACGTAATGCTGTAGCTACGCCGTCGCTGCATAATTGTAGGTCAAGGATGTCATTAACTCGGCTTTGACATTCGCATACCCTGCTCTAAATTTATTAAAATATGTGCTTATAACAGCATAATACAAGAACGATCGTATTACGTATAAATTATAAAACCTAGCGGTACTTACTCTGGCAAGATCCAATTGCCTAACTTTAGCACTTACTTTCTCCGCTAAGTTATTGGTGTGCCCTATTACATTTTGAAATTTTTCAGCCTCCAAACGCACAATGGCAATATTTGGCAAAATTTTGCTTATACTTTGAAGCTTGGCTTCAACGTGACAATGCTTTGAAAGAATATGATCTAAATGTTTATTAACAGCTATCTAAAAAGACAAAAAATGGCAATAGAACTCAAAATTACATTATTAGAAGAAATTGAGCGTAAAACTTTAGGCCAATTATTTTATAAATACATCATCTTCTTGTAATTTATCTATAACAGTCATTAAATTTTCTTCCTTCGGAGGCGTATCCTCGACCATATTCATTTAAATAAAACCTCGTATTAGTTAAGTTATCGAATGCGTGGATGTTTGAACGACATTTGAATGCGTGGAATTGTTAACCTCTCGGGTGACTCGCATAATTCAGTTGCGTTTGCCGAACCGCAAGCAAGACATGCGCAATGACGGTCTTACCTAATTGGTCACGGTACTCGCGAGACGTGCGACGTAAGCGAATGGTAAGGTTCGCATGAATTATTGTATTTATTTTTCCAAGCCATTATTGTTGCGGCACGAAGCGGAATACGTTTACAACGAAAATATAAAATATTTATTACTTTCGAATTTTTGCATACTGTTAAGTTCTGTTAATGCAGGGTACGATAGAGTGAAATTTCCTGCCCACCGTGTTAAAGGAACGACGGTCTCCACTCAACTCATCAATTCGCGGATTTTATTTTATAATAATAATAATAATAATAATAATAATAATGATTATGATTATGATTATGATAAAATTTGTTCAACTATTCGATTTTACTAACGAAGTATAAAGTTATTTTATATTTCATGTAGTTTACCGTATGGAATAGCGATTATTTATAAATATCAAGTCTTATTATTATCATATACGTATACGATTGCCTTTAATCTCATTATTATCAAATAGAACGTTAACAATGATGTAAGTCCATATAGGTTCACGAGATTGCACGGAGGTCGTTTAAAGTGTTTTATTCTTTTACATAACAAGATTTAAATTAACCAGCTGTCGACAATTCTATATATTGTTAGATGGAAATGCATATTTAATCATATTCTTCTATGTAATCGGACTTTGTATTGGCGCTACATCAAGTGGATTGGAGGTGGACTAGATCTTATAAAGTCTTAGTTTTACGTATATTTCATAAGCTTGCAAATATCAATTGTGAGACGAGGCTTTTGTCGCGCTTGTAATGGCGCCCAAATCTAATATGCTTTCGGTATTATCATGTGGATATGACATTCGTTCGAATGATGATTAAACAGTTGGCTTTATCTTCGAATTGTTTGGGAACAATAGGCTAAAAATTCCCGTACGCGTGCAAAAATTATTGTATCACAAGACCACGTACGAACGAATTATTTGCAGCTCTTCGTCTCTGCACTGGCCAAACGGCGATTTTGAATTTAAGATAACGACGTATGATTGAAGAGGCAATTTTGCCGAGATGAACGAACGCGGTCGTATATTCTGGGCTTAATTGGAAATGATATGGCCCATATCGGGGCTGTAAAAGACGGGCGGCAAAGAAAAAAGAAAGAATCACAAAGACGACGTAATCTTACAGACTTTTAGCAAAATTTTTACGCGCCAATCATAAATCACGTGTGGATGATTGTGATGTGGTTCATGAAGTTTGTAGAGGGCGCGAGATGTTTGGGTATTATGATGAATTTTAGGAACGTTAGGTTTGTCCCACTGACACAACAAACGCGGCTCTCCCCGATCCCCGATACCCTGATACCTCGATACCCCGATACCTCGATACCCCGATACCACGATACCCCGATACCACGATCCGCGATTCTCCGATCCGCCATATACGGATGTGTGTGTTTGTCTCTGCGTCGCGCCACCACTCGGCTGCGAAAGGTCCGATTCCGAGGTACGAAAGTGGTGTGCGTATGTGTGTTTGCGGTTTTCGTTAGCTTGATGCACTTTAGAATTAGAGGGGAGGTGGTTTTCTAAGAAGAAGTATTTCGTAATAAGTTTTTTGCGAGTATGCTGCTGAAAAATGGCCCGGAATTGCTGAAGGCATCGGATGACGAGGCCATCCGCAGCTCCTCGACGCCGCATCGAATCAAAATACCGAGCGTCGAGGAGGATCTCCAGAACGGGTGCAAGCGTAGGGCCGTTCCGGACAAGAGGAAGGCCACTGGGGCGGCTCTCAGTACCGTGCAGCAGCCGGACAAGTTCGTTAAAATACCAGGTTCTAGGGGGAGGAAGCCTTTGCCCCGGCCCGTTCACCAGAACGTCATTACCGATAATCACAAGCTTACCGAGTATTTCCCAGTACGTCGCAGTGTGAGGAAATGCAAAAAGGCCGTGCTCGAGGAGAAGCAGCGAGACCTTGAAAACAAGCTTTTGTGTGGGGTCGAGGATGGACTGCAGGTAAGTTGCAGCAGCTCTCCTTTATGCCCCTGTGAAAGTCCTTTATTCAAAGTGGTTACGGGCGCGCATTCTGAAAATGAATAATTATATCGCAGGTGAGGCACTTTATTGGTAAGGGAAGGGGAGTCGTGACGACTAGGGACTTCATCAAAGGAGAATTCGTTGTTGAATATATTGGGGAGCTCGTTGATCAAACGACGGCGAAGAAGAGAGAGGCAAAGTATGCTAAAGACCAAAATGCAGGCTGTTACATGTATTATTTTCAACATCGAAATCAACAATATTGGTTTGTGAATATCAAGCATTGAATAGTATTTAACGCACACTGTGCATTAAATTAGAAATAAATGAATTAAGCAGGAATTTATTGCTTATTAAGTTTTAAGCTTGTAAGATTAGATTTAGAATCGTAAGATTTTAATTGTTTCGCTCAATGTCTTTGGTTTTGTGTTATAGCGTGGATGCCACTGCAGAATCTGACAAACTTGGTAGGCTAGTTAATCATTCTCGAAATGGGAATTTGTTAACAAGAATAGTGGAAGTTGGGTCTACGCCGCATCTTGTATTAATAGCAAAGGAAGATATACCCGCAGGCATGGAAGTATCTTACGACTATGGTGATAGAAGTAGAGAATCTATTCGTAACCATCCATGGCTAGCATTGTAGTTTAAAATTATGACTGATAGATTTTAAAATTGTATTATAGCTTTGATTTACATATTCAGTGATTCTTGTGTTGTTTTTCAATCATTTAATACATTATTAGTTTTATATTCTGGGCCAATCGATGCTCATATCTTTATACTTTAATTGCCAAAATTACGGTATTTTAAAATATGCATCATGTTTTTCGCTTGTGTAATATTTAGTGTAAATGAAATTGTTAATGATATAGCGCGTGACTGAATATTTTGAACTGTTGAAAGTTGCTTGATTGATGATAATGCTGGCTATCTAGAGATTTTTTTTTTTTTTTTTTTTTTTTAAATTCAACATTATGTTTATTATATATTCATTGTACGTTTAAATAGGTGTTGCTAAATGGTACTTTGCATAACATATTTTATATGTTGCATTAATCAGTTTTGTCACTCAAGTAACTGTTATATAAAAGAAATTTGTATATGAAACACAATATTGGTAAGGTAATTTATTGAAATAACTTGTATATTACTGCTACTATCGCTTATGAGAATATTTTTAAAAATATTTGCACATTAGAATCATTTGTAAAATTAATTTATTCAAATAGTCCGAAATACTTTTTATCAAATTTTTACATTACAAATAAAATGAAGTACAAAATTGTATGAAATTAATCACCAATGATAATACTTTTAATACGGAGAATAATATTTATTTAATCATGTAGGATATCAATTATACAACTAAATATTTTGTAAGTTACAGAAGCAAATCTCTTAGAGGCCAAGTGGTTTATTCAATCCTTTAAAAATCTTATTGTTTAATGATATTTAAGTAAAATCGTGCTTTAAGATTCTTCATATTTACTATATATACAAAATATATGTACTATATATATGTACAAAAGTTAATTGAATTCTCATTCAAAATAATAAGATACAACATAATTTTCATTTAAAATTTTTTATATTCCTTGGTCTTTAAGGATTACATTGATTATAGCCTCTATTTGTTTATAGATAATAGTATATTTTTGAAACATTTACAATTATTTATGTTATTTAGGTAAACTTAGATTTAGATATTAAGATTTAGATTATTAAGATTTAGATTAGATACAAAATATTGTTTCTTTAGTATTTACCTTTTACTTGGTATATATATATATTTAAGGTTTCAATTATCACTTATGATAATTAATTAAAAAGCATGTTTATAATAAAATAAAATAAGAAAAATACATTTTTTATGCAAAACCAAATTTTAAATAAATTAGAATTTGATTTTGAAAATCAAAATAAACTATATTTGTACTAGTTCTCAAATATGTATTTGTAATGTAAGAATCATATTCTATGTTGAATAAAAGTTTATAACCAGTGACTTAATAAAAGATATTGATAATAAAATGTTAATACCTGACTTCAAATGGAAAATAATTTTTAAGAAGAAATACCATGTAATCCCCAAATTATGATTTAAAATCATCTTAATGATCAGCAATTGATGCGATATGTATTCGTATTTATATAATTGTAAAAATAATATTATAAAAAAATATGTCCAAAGTATACTGAAATTTTTGTTTTAAACTTTCAGTAACTTATGTTTAATTATCAAAATAGCGATTGCTTGGAGTATATTTTAGATTTGGCTACGATATTTTATAAGTAATAACTTATATATTAATCTAAATGCTCCTATTATCTTTTCAATTACGACATCGTTGTCTATCACTTTGATATTTGCTTTTTTTTTTGTTTCTTACAAAAAAATTCGTTTTGGTAAATCTTTATAATTTTTTATAGAATAAACTTTCGATTATTTTCGACACCTTTAAAAATTATTTAAAACGAACGTCATGCGGAGAGAGCATGTTTGGACAGTAGTTGAATAAATATCGCATTAAAGTCGACATGGTATGATAAAAAAACACGTGTGACCTATTATTGTTATTAAATGCCAAGCCAATGTCTTTTGAATGGTTAAGTTAGGCCGCTTTTGGTCGATTCTTTGTTTTAATGTCATGTTTTGTAACCATTTAACTGAACTAGTGTTTGAGGTTTACAGCAACAGTTCGTAATAAATAATTATCGTTTAAGCTTTTATTTAGGCACTTAACTCTACGATCTTATGGCTTTTACTTTCTAATAAATAATATACTTATCAATATCGCAGACTTGTTATTAGTTGTATTAAATTAGTTGTAAAAATTAATCTATTTCATTCTGTGTTTGAACAATGATTGCAACCTGAAATTCGAAGTATCAAATTTGCCTTTGTAACGTATACTATTACTCCGTATATTATTAGCCTTGTAAACTATTTCAATATGACATATTCTCTGATTTCTGTTTCTATATCGATCAATTTCATTGAATGCCATTGGCTTTAAGGGATCGCCTAGAACGATAGATCGCTAATATTTCAAATTTTTAGAAAATTTTGTTAATCATTTGCGTGTATACACGAAACATAAAGCATATATTTTTGCATTTCTGACATATTCTTATCTTCTTTTTCTTTGTTTTTTTTATTTTTTTTTTTTAATAAAAACAGCCTAGTATGTTTAGATGTAATAAGGTACTGAAAACACAACGAAACAATGCAAGTTTTACTTCGAAGTCTTCAAAAATATTCGTCAGATGCAACGGAAACACTTTACAAATGTATAAAAGCAGATAAGACTTTCTTCGTTCTATGATTATATTGTCGAGTGATCAATATATGACAAAGTTTTATGTCAGTACAATAATATATCTGTTAATGTTAATGCAGCTATAACAATCATAATACATTTTTATATTTGAAAGGTTAAATGTTAATATGTTGATATAAAACATTGAAAATTTTATTTCGTAAATTGCGCTATACTGTGAAGAAAAGTTTACATTTTTCATATTGAATTCAACAACGTCATCAATGGTTTACTTGGCGCATGCGCATACTTTTAGCGGGACTTCAGCTTTGGATAATCAAGTAGTTATGTAATGGCGACAGGTGTTCGTGTGTTTATTTACGTTGCATATATATTTGCATCAGTGTATAACCTTCAATAAATTTCTTTTTAACTAATTTTCACTAAAAAAATAACACTACGACGAAATGACGAATACAACGATGGTGGCAAAAAATACTTTACCAAATGGAGTTAAAATAGTTACAAAAGAATGTGTTCAATCAGAAAAGTTACTTGATGACATTAAATGTAATTCTTGTAACTCGAGAACGAAATCTGAGGTCAAATCATCTGGTGGTACTCAACAAGTTTTAAAAAAAAACACTTCCAAACAGCGAGATTCTGGAAAAAATAAAAAAGCGTTATTGAAAAAAAAACCAGAAATAGATAATGAGGTAATAATTGTAATTGAAAATAAATACTTGCTTATTAATTTTAATATTAAATATTATTTCTTTTAATATCGCTATGCTAATATTAGACAAATAAATGTAAAAGTGGGCTTGTTACATCATCAAATAATAAAAAAATTATCCAAGAAACTCGAATTAATAATGCAGATAAATCGAAAATTGTTTCTCTGAATCATAAGCTGACAGAATATTTTTCAGATCTTAAAGTCAATGAACATATTAAAGAGAATGTTGAGAAAGTATCAAAAATAGAAAAAGTACAAGTAAGTTCAGTAGAATTTTACTTCCTTGTTTTTCATAATTCTGTATTTGGTATTTAATTTTATTTTTGTATTAGATACAAGAATCCAAGCAGTTAATTGCAAATACCGTTACAAATCAGAAGCAATCATCGGGAAATTCCAAAAATTCAGGGAAAAACATAAAGCAAGATAGAAATAAAACTAATTCGGAATTAACAAATCATAAAGTTACTGACTATTTTCATGTACGTAGAAGTGAACGAAAGTATACTAAAAAAGTCATCGATGAAAAGCAAATAGATTTAGAAAATAAAATTTTAAACGAAATAGAGGATGGTTTGGAAGTATGATTGGAATATTTTTTATTTTCTTATAAGAGTATTTAGAATGAACGTGTACTTTCTATTTTAATTATTAAAGATTAAAGAATTTGAAGACAAAGGACGTGGCATTATTACAACAAAAGAATTTTACAGAGGAGATTTTGTTATTGAATATATTGGTGATCTTATACATGGAGCTGTTGCTAAGAAGAGAGAAATACAGTACGCAAAAAATAAAAATATTGGTTGTTATATGTATTATTTTAAACATAAAAACACTCAATATTGGTAAGTAGGCAATGCAAAATTAAAGTTTTTTCTAAGAAAAATGTACTAATTTACATATTACGTATTTTACAGTATTGATGCAACTAAAGAATCAGGTAAATTAGGTAGACTTATTAATCATTCTAGAAAAGGCAATTTAGTATCTCGAATTGTTGAGATCAACCAAATACCACATCTTGTTTTATTTGCTAAAACAGATGTATCAATTGGTACTGAAATATTATATGATTATGGAGATAGAAGTAGAGAATCTGTTCAAAATCATCCATGGCTTACTTTATAAATTCATTTCTAAGTATTTGAATTGATGACTGCTTAGTTTTAGTTCTTGATAATAACTATTATTATTATTATTATACATATGCTTATATCGACTGAATCTCTATTTTTTACCTTATAAAATTAATTGTCTTCTGTAAATAAATTAAGTTTAGTTGTATTCTACAGTATTGCCATGCTCTTGGTACATTTGATAAACAAAAATTATTCATTAAAGATATACTTTTTGTCCGTAGTATTTGCATTTTTATATTAAGAACAAACCATGAATTTTTAACATTGGTGGAAATTCGTTTTTCTAATTTAATAAATTTAAGGCTTCTTTATAATATACCAAATTATTTTGTATTAAATTAAATTCTTTTAAGAAATATTAAAAATTTTCTTAATCTGGTAAGCTTGCTATTGTTAGAATATCATATAATTCACCTCAAATTAGGGTATTTGAATTAATTAAAAAAATATATTAAATTCAAAGTTTATTAATAAATAGGCACATTTATCTAACTTACTTTGTGATGTTAAAAATGAATGTTAAAGTAATGTTTGTAAATAATATTTGTAAACGAATACTGCTTACACGACCAAAACACTTTTTCATCATAACTCTTTTTTATTAGCTAGAATTTTATCTAAAATTTCAACGAAAATATCAGCAGAATTACTAGAAGATAATTTATTAACATTCAGATCGTGATAATCATTAGCCTTTTTTTATTTAACGTCAAAATGTGTAAATTTGCATGGTTCCTTAAGAGAGTAAAGTAATTTTTTTACTCTATCTCCACTGACGTCACCTTTAGTAACTTTTCCATATATTTTATATTTACTAAAAGGCTTTTCATATCTAAAAACACAATTAATCAATTATTTGTGATTTTTTACTTTTTATAATGATTCATACTTGCGATCGAGTTGTTCTCCAGGATATTTTATTGTTCTTGAATTGAAGTCATAATTATATGTGTCATGTATAATATCAGAAAGACTAAATGCTAAAATAGAAAATTCGGTTGTTAAAATTGAATAAAATTATTAAAATGAGAAATTAAACAAGTTAAATAAATTAAGCAATTTACGATCTCTTTGGCGAGTTCCAAAACTTGTAAAGATCGGATCTATATGTGAAGGTATATTTGACGTTTCAAAGCTTGATTTACCAGGTTCTTTATCACTGATTTTAAGAATGAAATTACTTCTTATTTCTAACATTAATTTTTCAAATTGTGTAATTTCTTTTGGTTGCAAACAGTCCTTTATCTAATATTATAAATAAATGAGTTTTTAAATACGTAAATTTAAGGTTAATATTTTTATTAGTTAATTTGTAATTATTTACATTTGGTTTAGTATTTGGTATCGGTATTTTCAGCATTGATTTATATAAACAATCATCGTGTATTTCCATTTTTGAGATCTTATTATACAGAATTTATATTTTTTTTGTCAAGTACACCTATAATAAGAATATAAATATTTGTTTTCAATTTGACCTTATCACCATCTAGTATGTACAAAGATATGGTGTATATGTTGTACAGTAATAATTAAAGATTATTTATTGTAACTTATTTTATATATTGAAAATTGGAAAATATTATAATATTAAATATCTTATAAGTTAAAAAATACTGTGAAATTTTATTGGAAAAAAAAAACTAATAACGAGATTTGTTTTATGTTTTGGTAAGATTATACATTTGTCATTTATTTTCAGTATGGTTTATTGAATTAGTTATTTTTAAAGCACATATAATAATTAAATATAAATTTTATTAATCTGCATGTAATATTTAAGCATAACTATTATTTATCCGTTTATGATAATTAAACATAATTTTTATCAATAATATATTATTTTAAACTATTTTTTAATATATTACATTTAGTTTAAGCTAGTTTTCTTAATTTACTCAAGTATAATTTACGAGACAATTTTCAAATAATATCATTTAAGAGAATGATTTTCTAATCTAATTTCTTTATATTTGTATATGCTTACAAATTTATTAATACTTATTTTTTACAAATTCATATTTTTGGTAAGCTATTGGGTCATGAAATTGTTTATATAATTAAGTGCGCAATCACATGTATGTTTTATTTTATTTTAGCAAATAAATTTCTTGGAGTGAAATTGATTTTTTCCTTTGAATTGTAGATGGTAATTAAATTATCTTTATAAATAGTTACATAAATCAATATAAAACATATGGTAATATTATTTATTATTATTATTATTATTATTATTATTATTATTATTATTATTATTATTATTATTATTATTATTATTATTAATATTATTATTATTATTATTATTGTCATTAATTGATTTTACACTGTTATTCATTAGTTCATGAAAATGTGATTCAATGCATGCAAATAATTTATTTTCTTCCTTCGAGTTGTATTATCAGTTTTGTGAACGAGTTAACATGAATTATTTATAAAATTAATTTTCTTTCAAGATAAATTAATTTGTAAATACTTGGAGTCGAAAATGAAACCCAATATATCTTTCGTGTACTTTGCAATTAAATTGGTATTTATTTAAGATAATTAGTAAATGTATTAATTAACTACATATGTCACACATAAATTTTATATTTAATAATAATTATTATTACATAATTAAGTTTATATTTTATTACTAAATATGTGTTAATACTGTAATTAAACAAATCAGCAAATTTTATTTATAAGTAACAAAGTCAAATAAATTAATAAATAAAATTCCTTGGAAGCTGAGTTGAAGTATATTCGTTCTTTGCAAAAAGCTCAGGAATCACCCTTATTTTCCTTATAAAGAAAAATAATTTGATTTTTTTTAATTTCTTCACATGTCTCCCTCATGTTATCACCATTCATAATTGATCATAATCCATTAAATATATATTGTCTGACTCACATTTTTTTTATAATTGTAATATAGAAAAAAATAAATACGAAATAATGTAAAATTCAAGTTTTATAATTTAAATAATTTTTTTGTTTTTATTTATATAAATACGGACTCAATTTTACATTACATTATTTATTTCTGCGAATAATACAATACTTTGTATAAGATATCAACACATGATTATTTTAATTAAAGTACATAAAAGTAGTATTTTTAAGTGTTTAACAAATTAATAATTATTAATTGCTTTTTAAATAAAATTAAAATGAAGATTCCTTTGATCATTTATATTTGAAAAATAAAGTAGAAATGAGAGACAAATTTTGTTAACATAAAGGATATACAATAATAGTTCGTAATTAAATATTTATTCCTATACCGAACAAATTAAATTTATTAGATTTCGAATACTTTTATATCTTTGATAGATAAGTGATAATATACTATATAAGAAATAATATAACTTTATAAATATATGAGATAATCATGAATATAAAAGAATAATGTCATTGCTTAATATTACAATGCTTTTATAATACAAATAATAATTTACATTATAGACAGTTTAAAAATTTAAATAATTAAATTGCATACGCTTTACGTTCTATTTAATGTTGAATAAATCGTTTATCGATATTAATATCATGTATAAAGGAGTGAAAGTGTTTCTTTAATTATTATTAAATGATCTTATGTTATACTTGAACATCACTCGAAGCTAAGCACCTCATTTTCATAAAAAAATATGTGCAGTGTAAGCATTTGGGATTATGGTTCCACAAAATTCTTTAATAAATTTATGAATATATTTAAAGTAAATAAAGTATAAAGTTATAGTTCAATAATGTCTTAAGTATTTTTATTTAGTACTTTTTTCCCATATTTATTCTTATAATATATTTTTAGTTTACTTAAACATTATTAATGTTTTCAATTGTTTCATTAATGCGGATTGAATTATTGTTAAAAAATGGTATTTTACATTTTTAAGCTTTTGAAAGTTTTCTTTGATTTTTTACATAAAGGAATAGCAATAATTGTGGAAATGTGTTAACTGTTTGCTAAAAAATTGACGTCAATGCCATAAACAAAATTCTGTGTAATTTCATTATAATTTATTAATATAATGTATATTAGGCTGTATTATAATTTTCAAGTTACATTACACAAACTTTCAATACTTACATTACAATAAAACAATTACAATACATATATTTTACAAGAATACAATTGCGAGTACTTTAACGTATTACTATATCTTTTATAAAATTAAAAGAAAAGAAAAAATTTAAACAAAGTTGTATAAGTAAAGATCTAACGTAATATAATACTAATTCAGTTTTGCAATGAAATTGAAGAAATAGAATATGGTATTGCTGTACTTGCAACGTAACACTACACTCAAGATATCGAATAAAGTCGTTGTGCTAGTACCTTTTTTCAAAATCTTTATTGCTAAAGATAGATTTGCTGTACTCAATGTTTCAATTTGCATGCATAACGATTTATGCTCGACATCACGTTCATTCGGTTTAAAACATTTTCTCTCTTCTACATTGACTTGCATTTATGAGCCAACACCTATTTATATGGTTATCCCTATTATATAAAATCTCTTTCTACAAAGAAATATAATTCTTATTTTATCATTTCGTTATACTTTATATTATAATTAATAAGTAGTTTAAAAGACATTATTGTGTAATGGGATTCGGTGAAGTAATAATATTAACGAAAAAATATTTATATTTGATTGTCAATATTTGTATTTTATTTATATTGATATTTAATTCTGATTAATTGGTTTATTCACTATCATGTGTAAAAATTTGATAATGATTCAAAATTGCATTTTGCAATAAATTTTTTATGTGTTTGATTATTGTAGAACCTTACATTATATTTCCAAAAAAAATTCTGAATCTAATCCAATGATTGTAGAAACATATTTTTTAATAATTTAACTATCATATATGAAATAATTTAAAAATATGAAATAAATTGTATGTTTTTTTTTTTTAATAATTCAGAGTTTCTTTACTTGTAGATTTAAATTTATGAAGAGTTTATTCATTGGCACATGTATATTTATCAAATTTTATTTTTTCCTTCCTATACTAATTTAGTGTCAATAAAAATCGTTATAAATTATTATATTTTTAGTAAATCAATTTGTTAAAGTTATAAGATTTACTATTAAGCCGTAATATTAATATAAATTCTTATACATATTTGTATATAATTTATGTAAGTGAATTTCTGGTTCTTTTATGTACTCAAGTTTAAAATTTATGATTAATGATTGTATCGTTGGGCTATAAATTAAAACGGATTGTATAAAAAAATCTAATAATATTTTTTTGGCAAAATCTTACTTTTATTGACGTAATAAAAGATAAAAAAAAAATTATATAATGAGAATAACAAATAGTTATTGTGGTAAAAGAATATTCAGATATTTAAGACACTAACATTTCTTGTTTAATATAGCTTCGGAGAATACAAGATAATTTGTAGAATTCTATAATTTTTAAGTTTTTAAATCAAATAGAACCGCAATACCAGAAAAAGATATCATTTGCTGCGGCTCGAGAATAAGGATTTCCTTTATAAAATTATATTCGAGGATGAAAGTAAGCATTGTATAACAGCGTAAAAAGATTTGTGCTATAAGTTTATTTAGTTAAATTGTCATAGAGTGCTAATGAGCTAAGAAAAAATCATTCTTAAACGTCATTATTGTTTAGTCTGCCAAAATGTAAATTACAATTTTATTATTGTTAAATGCTAAGAGTAATAAAAACCTTCATTTAAGTAACGCGACTCATTTATTAGCTTAATTATAATATTGATTAAGAGTAACATTGAGTAAGTAATGGAAATTTTAATTAATGATCGCCTGAGTTAATAAACAACCTAAAAGCCTTTTCTCCCAATTCATTAGAAAATTATACGGTTCGTTAAAATTTCTAAATATTTATAATTCTCTAATACCCTCCCCCCGTCTTTATCATGCTGATATATTCAGTTAATCAAATAAATATGATTTTAATCATCACTTTCATTAAATGATAATTAATTTCCATAACTTAACTATCAGTACTATTGAAAATATTATCGTAGAATTGCATGTTCCCTATGTAGTTCATTGATAACATTTTTAATTATTTTCATATCCTTTGACAAAAATAAGTATCGATATAATTTATTATTTTTAAAATCTAGTATTTTTTATTATTTCAGTTTGATTTTCTAATATGGAATAGTATAAATTAATTTTACACCCAAGTTCAGCATGGTATTGAAAAATTCAAAATTATATACAAAATTCTTCTTTCTCATCTTTAATACAAAAATATGGTTTTATTTTAATAGAATATATGTACATCTTTCGTAGAAAAAAGAAGTTTATCTGCACAACAATTTTGGATTTTGGTTCCTAATACAATACAATAGATTGCAAACCTTCCAAATTAAATTTTACAATATTGTCTTTTAAGAAGTAC